TAGGAAAGTCATTCTAGGCAGAAGGAGTCAATACTGCCTGTTATGTGATAAATCAATCTCCATCAACCGTAATTGAGCTGAAGATACCGATGGAGATATGAACTGGAAAATCAGTTGATTATTCTCGATTGCATATATTTGGAAGTCTTGTGTACGTGATGTACAATACACAAGAAGTTAGCAAGCTAGATTCAAAATCCAAAAAATATGTATTTTTGGGATATGTTGATGGAGTGAAGGAGTATCACTTATGGGATCCCATTGCCTATAACATAGTCATCAACAAAGATTTCATATTTGCAGAAGGTAAAATGTAAATGGAAGAACATAATAGCATTCTAAAAGAGAGTACAGTAGTTCAGATGAAAAATACTCAGAATCATACTTCTTTTGAAGCTGTACCAAAGCATAAAGAGTAAGAACAAATAGAGTATGAAACTCCTGAAGTTTGGCAGTCGACTTGTGAAAGAAGACCACTGGTTTGACACTCAGAATATGTTACTGAGAGTAACATTATATACTGTTTTCTAACAGAGGATGGAGAGCCATCAACTTTTCACTAGGCTATCAAAAACATAGATATATCTATGTGGATGACAACAATGCAAGAGGAGATTGAAGCTCTACACAAGAATAATACTTGAGATCTTGTTCCATTACCACAAAGAAGAAAGACCATTGGCAACAAATGGGTTTACAAGATAAAGCGTGACGACAATGATTAAATGGAGTGGTATCGTGCAATATTGGTGGTAAAATGATATGCTCAAAAAGAAGGAATAGACTTTGATGAGATATTTTCTTTGGTGGTATGACTTACTACAATCAGTGTAGTCTTAGCAATGTGTGCTATATTTGATCTTCACTTGGAGCAGTTAGACGTGAAAATGACATGTCTTCATGGAGAACTTGAAGAAGAAATTTATATGCTCCAACCAGAGGGTTTTGCTGAAACAGGCAAGGAGAACTTGGTTTGCAGGTTGAACAAATTTCTATACGATCTCAAACAGGCGCCAAAGTGTTGGTACAAAATATTTGATTCCTTCATAATTAGCTTTCGATATAACAGACTCAGTTCAAACCCATTGTATGTATTACAAGAGGTTTGAAGAAGATTTCATTATTTTGTTGTTGTACGTGGATGACATGTTGGTGATAGACCCTAACAAAGATCGAGTCAAAGAATTGAAGGCACAGTTGGCTAGAGAGTTTGATATGAAGGACTTGGGACCAGCAAACAAGATTCTAGGGATGCAAATTTACCGAGACAGAAGTAAGAGGAAGATTTGGCTTTCTCAAAAGAATTATTTGAAGAAGATCTTGCGACGCTTCAACATGCAAGATTGTAAGCCAATTTCCACCCCACTTCCTATTAACTTTAAATTATCCTCAAGTATGTCTCTTAGCAATAAAGTAGAGAGGATGAAGATGTTTCGAGTACTGTATGCATCAGCAGTGAGAAGTTTAATGTTTGCCATGATATGTACAAGACCAGACATGTACAAATAGTGGGAGCAGCTAGTCGATACATGACAAATCCTAGTAGAGAGTATGGGAATACTATTAAGAGGATCTTGAGATACATCAAGGGTACCTCAGATGTTGCATTATGTTATGGAGGATTAGAATTTACTGTCAGAGATTATATTGACTTGAATTTTGCTGGTGCCCTTGATAAAAGAAAATCCAATACAGACTATGTGTTCATAATTGTATGAGGAGCTGTGAGCTGGGTCTCTGAACTTCAGACTGTTGTAGCATTATCTACAATAGAAGCTGAGTATATGGTAGCTACATAAGCTTGTAAAGAAGCAATATGGATGAAGAAACTTATGGAGGAGCTCGGGCACAAACAAGAGAATATTCTTTTGTATTGTGATAATCAAAGTGCCTTGCATACTGCAAGAAATTCAGCATTTCATTCAAGAACAAAACACATAAATGTTCATTATCACTTTGTTTGCGAAGTGGTGGAAGATGGAAGTGTGGATTTTCAGAAGATTCACACAAAGGAAAACCCAGCAGATGCTTTGACGAAACCGGTCAACACTGATATAGATCCTTTTATGACCTAGCAGAAATGTAAGCAGCATAAAGATACAGATCCTTTTATGACCTAGCAGAAACGTAAGCAGCATAAAGATGACCAGTATAGAAAGGATAGAAAAATCACAAATGATCAAATATGAAGATTTGATTAAATCATCAAAGTCTTCAAGTGGGAGAATGT